AGACGAATCATAAAACTAGAGTTAATCGGATATCAAAGAATTAATTACAATGTTAATCCTTCAATAAATTATAGCTATTTGACAACTGCCAAGATCCAAGCTATCTTTGGGAGATAGTCAAGTAAGGAAAGGATAAAAAGTCTCAAGTTATTGGTTTGGTCAAAGGTTTGGCATTTGATGCTCAAAGGTTTAACATTTGATGCTTAAAGGTTGACATTGGATGCTCAAAAGATTGATGGGGTAGCTTGCATGCTCCTCTGCTGGAAGTGTTCCCTGACTCCCACCTTTGTTGTCACACTCGGATTGTGCGATGCCTTATCAAGGAATTTGTGTGATCGCCTCAGTTGCACAATTTTTATATTCGAGCCGCCTTTTCAGGTTTTCAACTCGAACCCTCCTTTGGTTTCAAGACGTTAAGGATGTACGTCTTGAACCCCCCTTTCTTATTTTTCTTACCATGCATTAATTACATTGTTTTTTGCAAACAAAGATTAATCCTGATGGGCGGGATGAAATCTGAAGATAGTCTCTTCTGTTTAGAAATCCATGTATGATTAGAAGGGACTTTTAAGGCACGTAATGTAGGCCAGGGTCGTGGTTATGAAAGAAAAGGATAAATAGGCCCAAACAAGTGTTTCAGGGTATTGAACCAAGGATCAATTCATTCTGATGCCTTCAATCATGTCTTGCTCAATTTGGATCTGCTCATATGTGTTCTCATGGATTTTCTGGATGTTCCATGATCTTCGAGTGAAGTGATTCAGAGATTCGGGAATGATTGTGCTTGATCAATCTTATAGTTTGAAGCTTGATGTGCCATTTGTCTTTAGGGAATCTTTGCATGTGCTTTTGTCCCTTTTCTTTTTGATTTTTGCTCTTTTTTCCTTTTGTTCTTGTTTCTCTTTTTTGTTTTTTTTGCTTTTTTGCTTCTTTTCTTTTTTGTCTTGATTAGATCTTCGCACTTGCCATTTGGTCCACCTTTTGGTGTCTCCTTTGATTGATGTCTTCACTCATGTGAGCAGATTTCTTCCACCTTGCCCCCAATGTGGAGGGTGATCCTTGGTTAGGGTTGGATCAGAAGAAAAATACTACAGGCTCAAAAGGGGACACAAGGGATATATATTTTCTCCTGTTGTGAAGGGATAAAGAAAGAAAGCCGTTCATCATTTCATACATGGAAGTCCTCACAGAAAAGGTATCCCCAGGGGGATAGATTTTCAGGATTAATTTATTCACATGAAACAGTGTAATTAACGCGTGATAGAATTATTAGGATAAATTCTTCTTTTTTCCCCAGATGTCTCAATGTTCAAGCTCCCCGCAAGATGCCCCAAGTTGTGTCTTTAGAATAAATCTCATGTTCAGATGAACAACTCAATGCCTTGGGTTAAAATGTCAATTTTGAGTCTAAAAAGGCAGTGGTGTGATCTTATTGACTCAAAGAAAAGTATGGGTGTATCAAAAAGATAAATGCAATGTTCAAGAATTTCAAAGGGAGGTTATGTCAAAATTTGGTCTTTTTGGTAATGATCAAGGTATTTCATTTTGGGGTTTGAGACATGATAAGAAAGGTCTAATCTTGTCATATGTCAAAAATCTATAATTCTTGAAGAGTTAAAAGAATCCTTAATTCATTTAATATTCGAAGAACTAAAGATTAAAATTTGTTCAATTGCTCCACCTTAGAAAGTAGCATAAATTCAATCCTTTAAAAGATTAAGTAAACATGAAAGATCAAAGACGTGTTCAAACAAAACAATCCTCTAAGTGCAAATGGTATATGTCATGCCCCCTTCGACAAGTGCCTTACAGTTTTTAGAGGAATGTTTGGGGTTTCTTATGTGGTAACAGCTAACAGCTTCAACATCGTAGCCCTTAGGATATGGAGATTCTTTAGATATTCATGGCAGGCTTTGTCCTACAATCAGCTGATCAGGCTCTATGTGTTTTCAGTTTTTTTCTTTAAGGTTACAATCTTGCTTCCATGTGGTTAAATCCACTTCATCGAATCATCTAGGAAGAAATTTCATGTTTATGAAAATGCTTAAAAATGTAGATGAAGATGAAAAAATGCAAGAATGCATGAAATGTTCGAGGCATTGATCCAAGAAATGTGCATGTTATTATGAATAATCTTTATTGGGGACAAAAATGTTTTATCTTTTAAGAGACAAAAATATCCTGACAGCTTCTGACATGTTGACTAGTCTTCTGCTTTCGTCTTTCACCGGTTGAATAACCTGTCGAACCGCTCCGGCCTCTGGATGAACCGTGAAAATGTTGAGTTATTTTTCGTATTGGTCTAAGAAGTCTCGAATGATCGCATCTCGAGCACATACTTTTGTTGAGCCTGTTCCCAACGAATTCGTCATTGGAGCCCTTAATTGATAGGAACTATGTGAAGTTCATTAATCTGTTTCTTGAATTCGCCAGCAATGGTCTCCAATTTCAGTTATCATTTTTCCATTGTCGTGTTCAAAGGGACTTCCAAGATACATAACCTTCATCCTGCCCCTGCAACCTCTGTCAGTCAGTTCTTCAAAGATAAGCTTTCATTGAGCTTGATGTAGACCCGATTCATTCTGAGTCCTTTATAATCCAGCAGAGTGATATACTCTTCAATTGTGGGCACCACGTCTTCTGGATTGAATGTGACACATAGTCGCCTTGTAGACCATCCTTTGTATTTTCATCTCTTGTATTACAACACCTTTGTTCATGGATTCAGATTATTCGAGTTTTAACAAACACGTTTTAGTGGATCAATACTCTTTTAAATGATGCAAGTGATGAAAGAAAAGAAAAGAAAAGAAAGATGAAAAGAGTTAGTGAGGAAAAATAATAAAAAACGATCATGAAAATGAAAAATCCTACCCCCATGATATCTACCCCACTGCTTATATTCCTACCGGACATGATCTCTATCCGCATGCTAATCTCAAACAAATCCTAATCGCATATTGTCTAGTTCGCATGCTTTTGAACATAAAGTAAGGCAGGAAATAAAGTCAAAGCAGCCTAAGGTTTGGAATGAGGTTTGGGGGTGGGCTCTAATTCTCATCATCTCCCGTTTTAGGTTCTAAAAAAACGGTACCCGAGTTCTCCTTGTCAGTGCCCCCTTGGGCTTGCCAGACCCTTAGTCCTAACCATCACAGGCTTGTATGGACTAAGTTAAACTCGAGAGGACACATTCCCTTATGCCCGCACGGTGAATAAATTCACACGAAGACATAAGGTATATGAATCCCGAAGGCTACTTGCTAGGCCGCACGGGAATAAATTCACACGAAGGCGTCGCTTTCACCCCACTTAAAATAGGGTTTGGGAGTTCGGGTATAGAGCTTAGATGAAAAAAAACTTTGAAGGCTGAAATCATGAGAAACGATTAGTCCAACTATTTACTCGAAAATATAATCAAAAGTGAGTAAAAGGATCGAATATTACCTTAAATTTAAACTTACCCTTTCGTTAAAAGACAACTGGAAATTACCTTAGCCTGACTCACTTACCTGTGTCCCCAGCGGAGTCGCCAAGCTGTCGCAACCGTCTTTCGGTTGGGCCCCGGAATTGGGCTTCGACTTGAAAATGTGGATTGGAGTCGCCACCGATCATTTATTTAAATAAATGGGTTGATCGGATACCTATTTCTTACCTGATCTGCGTTACCAGAAATATGTCGGGTTCGGGAGTCGGTTACGGTCAAGGAAGGATTAGCACCCTTGAACCGCCCTTTCGGTACTACGTAATTTCCAGTTGTCTTAATTAAGAAAATAACAAGTTAAATTAAAGGTAAAGTTTCGATCCTAATTACTTACCCTTGATTGATTTGAAAAAAAATCGAGAAATGTTAGATAAACAAGGTAAAGAAAACAAATAAGATAAAAGGGAAAAATAAAATAAATAAATAAGTAAGTAAGATAAGAAAAAATAGTAAGTAATAATTATATATAGTAATATTTGAAAAAAGGAAAAAAAGATAATATATATATATCAAAGTATTAATAAAATAATAAGCTATATATGTACACCAAATACTTAAAAATAGAAAAACTACCTCCCAATTCACCGAAAATGGGGGGCTCTAATAATAAATAAGACAAAAAAATGGGCCCTCTAGGTTAGTAGTATATAATATAATGTTTAATAATGATAATGATAAAGACACAAGGTTTTTTTAAAAAATAATAATATAATAATGAATAAAAAAAAATGAAAATATAAAAAATAATATAAATATATAAAGTTATAAGATAATTACATAAATAAAGAAATAATCAAATAAAAATAATTAAGAATATATATATTTAATATGTATATAAATAAACTATTAAAAGTATAAAAATATATACGACTAGATAAAGATAATTTAATATATATATAGTAATATTAGACTTATAAGAAAATATTAAAGAATATATATAATAATAATAATAAAATATAGTAAAAATCAAATGAAAATAATTTAATATACAATATAATAATACATGAATAATAAAAATAAATGAATAAAATATCCATATAATAAATAAAGGGACTAATATAGATTTTAAAAAGCTCTTTCCTCCTTTAACCGAAAATCAAACCGGTTTTTAAAAATAAGCCTCGAGGTAGATCTAGGTTCGAAACTTCGAAACCCCACCCATTTTGGTCATCGGCGCAACCCACGTTTTGGGTTATTCGAACCAAATCTCAAAAAAATAACGTGCACATGCAAAAGAAAGAAAAAAGAAAATACTACCTTTTATTTCCTTTTCGAATCCTTTACAATAGCTTTGCCTTTGTATCTTCCGTGCTTTCCTCTATGTTTGTGTATAAATCGTGTCTTACAATAGTGAGTTACAATGACTATTATAGTGCTTGTGGATCTATCTTTAGGAGTTTAAATCATAGTAGAACTCTATCATATTTTTTGAATCCTAGCAAAATTCTATCCTATCTTTAGGAGTTTGAATTCTAGTAGGACGAAAAGGTGTGTTGACAATAGGTATGAAGCGAAAGACCTTGTAGCAAGCTTGCCTGGCTTGGAAAAGTACGTCGTTGTGGACTTCATCTCGTTTCCCCGATGCATAAGCTTCTAGCGCCATGGCTTACCGGCGTTACCCACCAAAACTAGAAAGATGGCAACGATGCTTCTTTCAATTTCAGGCACCACAATTAGGATTTGGGCTAAATAGAACAATGGTTTAATGGCTTCATCTGGAACTAAACTGGGTTAGAATTCTTGCATCGAGTGTTATCTGAAGGGCCCAAGAAACTTCAAGACCGTGGTTTTAGTTACAGTTATTTCATTTTAAAAAATGATATATTCTTTTTTTATTATTTAAAACTAGAATGAAGATAATGTAAATTAAATCAACTCTGAATTTAGATTATTTAAACTTAATTGAAAATAAACTGTTTATTATTGAATTTAAAAATCATATTGATTGTAATATGATGTTAAACGATTTTATTAAAATATATCTATAAAATATCATATGTTTAATATAAGAAGTGATCATACGGCTCAACTCAATCAACGATTTTATTAAAATATATCTATGAAATATCATCTGCTTAAAATAAGAAGTGATCATACGGCTCAACTCAATCTTTATCTATCAGACTAGATACCCAATCTACTCAATTTATAAAATTTCACACATATTTGCTTTCTTTAATTAAGTAAATAGTTGACCCTTGTTCCCATATGTAATGTGATAAGGAGAGATAAGATAGTAAACTGTCCTCAACACCAGGTTGAGAGCAGCTTCCGTAGGAGACCTTGGGATCAAGTCCCATAGAGGGCATTTCATAATTCGGAGGTCTCCTACGGAAGTTGCTCTCAACCTGATGTTGGGGACAGCCTATTATCTTACCTCCCCCTTACCCCATTACATATGGGAACAAGGGACAATCATTTAATTAAGTAAAGAGATATTAATTTTTTTAAATAAATGTCAAAAATATAAATTTATATAAGGTGATACAATACGAGCATCGTTAACCAATTAAAGGATATGTGTAAGTACTTACTTTCTTTTACAACCAATCACGACTGAAAGCGCCATCAAAACACTTTGTAATATGAGTACATAGCAGCAGATGGCAGATGTTCCTTGTTGTTCATCTCTTTTTTTGCCCATTTAAAGGTTTGTTTGCTATATATGATTTTCATTTCACTAAGGGGATGTTTGGATCGAAGAATATGAGATTCTTATAGGAATAGAATCTACATTCTTTCGTTTGGTTAGTCGGAAATGTCATTTTCGGTAATGTTTTATTACCAATAGTGGATTTTTTTAGGTATATTACCGGGAATGTCATTACCTTCATTCCCTTAGGTATTGTTGGATTATCGGCGTTTTAAACAAAAATGTCCTTAATTTTTTTTCCCAAAAATATCCTTCTTTTGTCATTGAAAAATAAAATTCTAAGAAGGTTAAATTATAAATTTATCTTTAAACTATTTTAGATTTATAAAAAAAAACTATAATTAAAATTTTATATGAAGTTCAGGGGTTAAAATAAAATTTTACTATTTCATAAAACATTTTTATATTTTCAATTTTGTAAAAAAAAATTCATATAAATTTTATGAATTTTAATTTTTTTAAAGAAAATATATAAAAAATTTCAACTTGTTAAAAAAACAAATATATAATAAGGATAATTTGATCAAATATACATTTCAATAATCTTTTATTCCTTTAACTAAACACGGTAATCTTATATTCCTGCTAAACCAAACAAACACAAAATACAACATTTCCAGTAATCTTATTCCCTGATAATCTTTTAGTCTCACTGATAATTTTACATTCGGTAAACCAAAAGCACCCTAATTGTTTCATATTTGGCCCTTCACTCCAGGGTAGTGCAGTGCAGAAGACAGTGAGCTCAAGCGGGGAATTGTATGAAACGGCATACTTTGCTGGTTTGTGCTCACTTCTCTCCTGTCAGCCAAATGTTCTCAGCTCTGCACGGGTGTTTCCCTTCACAAATCACAGAATCATTATTTGTTTTTCTAATAACATTTTTATATATACCCTTTGTTTAAAACCCTCTTTCGTCTTCATCTTGTTGTTTTCATGGAGATTTTTCAAGGCCTTTGACTCTCTGTTTTTTTTTTTGGCGTTTTTACCATTGTATTCTCATCATCAAAGCTTTCATCTTTCTAAAACATGGTCCTTGTGTTTTTAAGTAGTAAATATGTTTGAATTTGTTTTTAATCACTCAGCACCTTGGTTGACAATGGGAGGAGATAACGAGCTGTTTGTGTAATTTGCACAGATTTATAATCATCCAGGTAACCATTTTGAACTGCCTCCCTGCTTGTGGTTTTAATTACAAAGCAAGTACCATGATAAAAGCTTGGCTCTCTTTGATCCATCACTACAGCAAAATTGTTCTACAGCGGCGTTTTTAGCGGCGTTTTGGGAGTAAACGCCACTAACTTTAAACATATAGCGGCGTTTACATAGAAAACGCCACAAAATGTTAACTTTAGCGGCGTTTTTATAAAAACGCCGCAATAGGTTAAGCCATAGTGGCGTTTTTTAAACAAACGCCGCTAAAGACACGTACTTTAGTGGCATTTTTTTAAACAAACGGCGCTAAAGACTCATACTTTAGTGGCGTTTTTATACAAACGCTGCTAAAGACTCGTACTTTAGTGGCGTTTTTATACAAACGAAGCTAAAGACTCATACTTTAGTGGCATTTTTATACAAACACCGCTATACACTTGTACTTTAGTGGCGTTTGTGTTTAGAAACGCCGCTAAAGACTCATACTTTAGTGGAGTTTATATACAAACGTCGCTATACACTTATACTTTAGTGGCGTTTTTATACAAACGTCACTATACACACTACATCAAAATAGGTATATAACAGTGTTTTTCGCATCGTTTTCAAAGCAAACACCACTAAATTTATACATATCCTGACATTTATATCCAAAATGCCACAAAATAGTAACATTGACGGCGTTTACCATAAACGCTGCTAAAACTCGTATTTTAGCGGCGTTTGTTTCACAAACGCCACAACATATAAGTACTTTATTGGCATTTTAAAACAAACGCCGCAAAAAAATCCTACTTTAGTGGCATTTCTAAACAAACGTCGCAAAAGAATCATTCTTTAGTGGCGTTTATAAACAAACGCCGCAATAGAGTACATATATTGTGACGTTTTTAGACAAACACCGATAAAACCTAATACTTTAATGGCGTTTCTAAATAAACATTGTAATAGAATCGTTCTTATTGGCGTTTTTCTAACAAATGCCGCAATAGTTTGGAACGCTTATGTTGAGCCGTTAATGGCGTTTGGTTTGAAAAACGCCGCAAAGTTTTATAAATAAAAAACCCCAATTTTTTCTGCACCCCAATCCCTAATTTCTTTTTCAGAATTACAGATTTCTGCTTGTTTGTTTTTCTTTTTAAAAAATTTTTGGGACCATAGCGAGGAAAAAAATCTCAAGCACTTTCGAAACATTGCTCCATTTATCTGTAGAAGAACTTAAGAAAGGGTAAGCTTTTCACTTCTCTCGAGTTCTTTTCTGTTTTTTGTTCAAGATCTCCCACACGCATCGAGCATTCTGTGAGGTTATTAAACTCATTTTGTTTTTCTTTCTTCAAATTATTGTTCTATAGAAGGAATTTTGATTGTAGTAGGCAAACCCTAACTTTACTAAAAGCTGAAACTGACCTTGGTTTGTACATTTTCTCCTTCACTTTTATCTCATGTTTTGTGTATTCCTGTTGCTTTCTAAATTGCTCGTTCTATCTTTTTATTCCAAAATGTTTTAGGTTGTATTCCGATTTTATGCCCACGGTAAACTTCGATTATGGAATGTGCTTAATTGGAGCCTGTTTTAACTTGTATTTATGTCGTTCTCAGTATTTCCCCTCTGTGTTGCTTGGAACTAATTGTTGAGGAAAAGGAATTGGTCTTCTATGTTAGTTTCGGAAATTATGGATTTGCATGTTCATTCAATGGGTCTGGAAATTCTATGCAAGAATATTTGATTTTAAATATATTTTTTTAAAATTAGTTTTCATGTCTGGGTTTTAATTTATTTTGGACTTTTGAGTTTTTGGTGTCAGGGTTTGAGTCGGGTTTTTTTAGCTGCTCATCAAGCTCCTCATCTTATTTTGTCTTGTATGTGTGCCCCTTACTTTTGATTCTTTCCTTATTTATGAACTTACTGAAATAAGTGTTAGTAAGTATAGCAACTTTGCTTGACTGTATTCATGGTAGGCACCGAATTTACCAATTTTGCTGATTAGATTTTTATCAATAGCTAGAAGTTATCTCGAGTTCCTTGACTGCTTGCATGCATTTTAGTATTTCATGATAAAGAGTTTTGAAAATTTCGGTTGAAATTTTTATGCTTTTTCTTAATTGATAGCAAAAAGCATAAATTTCGATTTAATTATTGTAAATCACAACAATGCTTGTTTTATTTGCTTCTTAGCATTAGTTAGGGTTGTATTGCTTGATTGGTTGGGAAGTATTCTAAATATTTGTCCCTTCAAGCTAAGAGACTCGAAATCTCTATCTATAATTTGCGTGCTTAGACATGAGAGAATATGAAGTATGCAATGTAAAACTGTTGTTGAATGGAACCAATAAATTGAATATTGAGTGGGTTGATCTGTTGCGTTGGCAAATAGGAAGGTGTTAAGGTGAGGCTTCATTTATAAATTTATGTTGTAATGCATTAAACAATGAATAAATTGAATGGTTTGGCTGCATTTATTGATTGATTGACAACCATGAAAATGTTTTTAACACAATTTTTTAGATGCCAACTTTATTGGTCTCAAAACAAATAGATGTATAAGAGCTATTGATTATAGCCATTTTGAATGAAAGGAATCAAAATTTGAGATTGAATATGCGTATGTTGTTCATCTTTCTTCCATGTGTTGATTCAACTGAGACAGATGATTTGTGATTCAATAGATGTTAAACTCTAATCCTAATTTACTCGTATGAATTTGCTAAATTCAGTGTAGGTTCCTATTTTTGATTAGTGTAGGTTTACATGAACCAATACTTAGGAATTATCTATGAAGACTTAGGAATTATCTATGAAGAGGCAAATTAAGGTAATGCTGAATAGAAAACCTTCATTTTATTGGAGAAAAATTGAAAAAAGTTTGATGACAATCCAAGTTCATTAGCCT